GAACAATGTGTCCAACCAACGGTTGCACCATGAGACTGGCACAGGACCTGTTATCTGCACAATCCGTGATCGCCAACTCAGGCTATACGGCCACCTGGCTCCCTTTCCTCAGGATGATCCTGCCCATCAGGTCGTCTCTGTTCGAGACAACCCTGGTTGGAGGAGGCCTGTGGGACAACTGAGGAAGTCGTGGCTTGGGCAGATCGACCAAACCTGCCGTGAAGAAATAGAGATGGGCCGAGTCCCTGCCTGGCGTCTAGCCATGAGGGATCCTCGTAGGTGGAAGCAAAGGGTGGATGCGGCTATGCGCCCCTGTCGGCGTCAGCCCCCTTGATGATGATGATGATGATGTGCAAGAACGTACACTTGGGTATACAAAAAAAACAAAAAAACACACACAAGGCTATTAACCCATTTACAACAGGTGTCCCACATATAAGACACCCAGGAAAATAAACATAACTGGGCGTCCCACCGGTGTGACGCTGGATCAGAGCTTGCACTCCATTTCCACCGCGAGCCGCGGTCGGTGCACAAGCAGATTCTGGGCTGCCCCGCGAGCCGGTTTTGAAGCCGCTTGGAAACTTATTTTCGGCTTCAAAATATACCGGCGATAGTGGGTTAATAAGAAAGCATTAATTATAAACTGGCACTCTATGCTCAAAAGGTTAACGACCCCCGGTCTATAAGCTCTATACCATTACTGGCCCGGCTGCAGAGTACACCTCTTGCTTCAAGGTGTACACTGAGCAGGACCGAGGCATCATGCCCTCTTCCACAAAAGCAGTGCTTAACTTGATGGAGACTGGTGGCTTCCTTGGGCTGGGATACCAGTTGTTTGTGGACAACTGGTACATGTCCCCGACTCTTTTTCATTTGATGCAGGCACACAGCACAAATGCGGTAGGGACAGCCCTGCTGAATAGGAAGTTCATGCCCAAGGCTCTCAGTGTGATAGGGTGATGTCGATTACCATAGCACCAGTATGGGGTTGTTGTTGATGTGGAAGGACAACACCATCACCGTCCATGCCTCTGCAATGGTGAGCTACTACCCGACAACTCGCCGCTCAAGGTCTTCTACAGGAAGGTTTTTTTCTTCCTCTTTGGCATGGCCATCGTCAATGCCTGGGTCGTCCATCATGCCCTGGGTGGAGATGTTTCACAGAAAACCTTTAAAGCCAGAGCTCACACTGCATAATGACCACTCGTTGCAACGAGGTCGACACTACAGCAGAGTCAGCACACTGTCACCGCCATCCCTGACAGCAGGAGGAGGAGGTGCCATTGGTGCTTCAAGCAGAGGAGGCGCAGGAGCAGCAGGAGCAGCAAGAGCTTCTGTCTGGAGTGCGATGTCGCAATCTGCACACATGCGTTTCGAGGCATGGCATGCTGCCAGGTGATGCTGCAGTCAATAAAACAAATTGATTCTTTTACACAAAAAATCTCTGATTTACCCTCACTACATCCTGAGAGAAAGATATATGGCAGTATTAGACAGTCTATACTATATCAAAAATTAAAACCATTCCAACAAGTGTTGAGACTGCATTTTAATCTTATCAGCAAGCAAAACATTGTGTTCGTTTCTCAGAAGGGTAAACTTCGTTAATCTCCCATGGCTATAAAAGGGGCATAACATCGGAGCTTGGGCTCTGATTTTGTTGGCTGAGGCAGGCAGCACATGGACGCATCCCTGAACAGGCCCGCGCGCCGCAACTGATACCACCCGGAAAAAACACTTATCTCACTCCGAAAGAACCATCACTAGTGGGTTAGCATGACCTCTGCCAAGGAGGTCATATTTTTGGTAAAACTGGTTATTTTGTTTGTTTGTTAATCAACTTAAAAAGTTATACACAGATTTTTATGAAATTTTTACCAGAGGTGTATCTTGGCACAACATAGATGCCATTAAATTTTGGCAGTGATCCTGATCATGATCCAGATCCAGGGATTTTTAAAAGGACTCAGCATTGCAAGATAGGGATAATCATAGTGTCATTTGTACTAATGTCATCAGCCGGACTTTATAAATTAGTATTTCAGAGGTAATCCTGACCCAAGGAGACCTTTCAACACCATTCTATTGGATTTCCAGAGGTCATATGAGAAGGTGTTTCATTTGGACAGGCTGAGGGAGGGGGAGTGTGCCCGCGGGTTTGCTGAGGCAATCTCTGATCGTTTCGCAGTGCTTGGCAGTCTGACAGACCCTGTTCTTCTGTGGGATACCTTTAAGCGTGAAACGCTTGATGCAGCTCAAGATACGATTGGTGTACGCCCAAGAGCAGTACAGAATTCCATCTCGCGGGAGACACTGGAAGCCACAGATGCATGTCGTGTGGCTCGTCTGACAGGGGATCGGGAATTGCACCATTCCTCAGGATGATCCTGCCCATCAGGTCGTCTCTATTCGAGACAACCCTGGGTGGAGGAGGCCTGTGGGACGACCGAGGAAGTCATGGCTTGGGCAGATCGACCAAACCTGCCGTGAAGAAATAGAGATGGGCCGAGTCCCTGCCTGGCATCTAGCCATGAGGGATCCTCGTAGGTGGAAGCGAAGGGTGGATGCGGCTATGCGCCCCCGGCGGCGTCAGCCCCCATGATGATGATGATGATATGAGAAGGTGGAATGGTAGTTCAGGGGAACTCCACATTCCATTGAAGCTAGAGCATGGTGTTAAACCTATGGTGGGGATATTTTACAAGGCACTATAGAACTTTGCCTTGGGGTTGTAAGAATGATAATCTACAGGTCTTGTAAACAATGGGCACAAATGTTGTTTATACTAGATCAAAAAAGCTGAAGAGAGGCTAGGACACAAGTATCACTTCAGAGTTCATTAACATCCATGATTGTGAGTGGACACATAACACAGACTAGAGAGGATAACTGCTTGTATGAAGTGATTAATACTTACAACGAACCGTTCTGAATTCCCTGTGACATTAGTGAGGTGACACTGACAAGAGTCAACATCATTTTGTAGTTCCAAGGAGAGACAATATACTCACATAAAGGGATGAGAATTAAACTTCCTGTATAAGTAATCTCAATTAAAACTACCAAGATATCTAATATAAAATAAATATGAGATTAGAATCACACATAAAGCTGGAAGTATTATTCCTGTTATAAAGACAGCCTGCTCCAAGGAGAGTGGAATAATAAATCTATTATCAAGTGCCTATACACAAACATATTTGGAGTAGGATCAACTTGTTTATCAATTTACTCAAAGGAGTATTTACTCTTTGGATCTGGATGTTTTGCTGCCTGCATGTGGCACACAATCCAGGCATTAGGTTTACTTGAGCAGTTGCTCTGATGGGTGTGTAGCTTGCATGAACACTATGTGAATTGACAAGACTCCATGCCTTCCCTTTGCAATGTTATCTTCTCTTTTTCTGCTTAACTTTTTTCTTTCTTTCTTTTTCTTGCTATTTTTTAATGTCTAGACTTTATTTGTCATTGAATTTGCTTTATCTAATGTTGGTTGGAATGTTTTCCTTGCACAGACTCCATCTGTGGTATCTATTTAGATCTCCATCTAAACTGGAAATGCCATATTAATCACATTCAACCAAAGATTAATAAGCAATGCGGCTGAACGTACCATTCAAAACAAGCACTAAATAAACATGCTTTGAAACAGATTTACACTTCTTTAATATAACCACACTTAATATATTGCCAGTTTGGGGAGCAATGCATAAAAATACCTTAAAATCCTTATGCGTAGCACAAAAAATGAAGTGTTCATACAATTTAAGGACTAAAAAAATGTTATCATACCCACGACAAAAAAGGATTTACTGACTTAAACTTTTGAATACTGTTGTTGTTTGCATGTTCTTAATTGTCTTAATGTTATAGGAAATACAATGTTTACATTTAGGATATATTAGAGGTAGTTTATGAGACACAATAATCTACTGAATGTTCCATTTGTAATGTCTCAACAATCTCGGTCAAATATCGTTTATCACGGTGCGGTATTGTGGAATAATCTTCCTGAAAAAATAAGAAAAATTACAACTGTTTCTTCATTTAAATAGAAATTAAAACAATTCCTGTTATCTCAGTATCATGAGTAATGAGTCTCCTTTCTTCTGCCCGTTATGTTTTATGTATAAAATTTTCTGTAATTTCTCTTTATTGGTCAGCCTTTTATTGTTTCACTTTGATACTTCTACAAAGTTTACTAACTTTATAAATTGCTTATAGGTTAAATCATATATGTAGATACTCATGTAATATATAAAATATTCAATACCTATATAATATGTAATGTATATCTAATGCTCATAAAAAATGTTCTGTATATATTAATTCTTAAGATGCTGCATAAATACCATTTATACAAAGGGTCTTCCTAAGAGAGTTGTACTCCCAGAGGGCCCAGCCATGTATCATTATATGTATTTTTACTTCAATGTAATTACTGTCTTATGGCTAAATAAACATTATGATTCTGATTCTGATCTCATCTCTCAAGGTAGTCCATAACTCAATGCAATAAAAATTAGGACTCAGAGGGTCCATACCTCTACCAAGGTGGATAATAATAACAGTTAGCCCTCTTGCCAAGGCCATAGGGTTAACTGATGCAATCATTTAAAAAATTCCTGAATCTGGATCATGCTTTCAGGCTAAGGCACACACCTCTGGCAAAAATTTCATAAAAATCTTTTCATACCTTTTTGAGTTATCCTGTTAACAAACTAACTAACCAACCAATGTTAGCCAAAATATAATCTCCTTGGTGGAGGTAATAAAAAAATATAACATTTTATTTGTGTCCTCCCTGGAACCGGTGCTTTTCCACACAGGTGGCATATTCCACACATTCATCAATGGAAATAATGCAAGAGCCCTTCCTAAATGCCCACTAAGCCTAATCACCTCTAAGAACTTTGTGCATTCATGGTGAGTCCGAAAATCAGGTAAGGTCAGGTAAGACTAGATAGTAATACTCATTCTTTTAGCCATAACTGTACCTTGTCATACACTTCTTGTGTGATAATACTCA